GGAATGCAATCTAAGTCTCCCACATGGGTAGCAGGGACCCAGCTGCTTAATCTACCACCATTGCCCCCAAGGCTCTCATCCAGCAGGAAGCTGGAATCAAGAGCTAGAACTAGGATTCCAACCCAGGTACTCCAGTATGGGATGTAGTCATCTTACCATTAGGCTAAACACCCACTCCTGTTAGAACATTTAGATAACAATTTGTAGTGTATCTAATAAAAATTCTTTAAAATTGTGGCAAAATATACCTAGAACTTACCATTAGTCACATTTAATATCTTTACCATGTTGTGCAGCCGGCACCAGTAGCTGGTTCCGGAACATTTTATCACCCAAAAGGAAACTCCATACTTCTCAGGCAGTCCTTTCCGACTCCCCCTTCCTCTCAGCCTGGGACAACCACGAATGTGCTTCCTGTGTCTGTGGACTTGCCTAATTTGGACATTTCATATAAATGAAGTCACACAGTGATTGGGTCTGGCTTCTCAGACTCAGCATATGGTGTTCAAGGCGCATCCTTGCTGCAGCGTGTATCAGTGCTTCATTTCTCTGTATGGCTCAATATCTCCCACCCTATGTCTGTACCATAACTGTTTATCCACTCATGAGCTGATGGACATTTGGAGTCTTTCTGCTTTTGGCTATTGTGACTAAGTACTACTATGAATATTCATGTGCAAGCTTTTTTCGAACATGTTATTTTCAGTTCTTGTCAGTTTATAACCAGGAGAAGAATTGCTGGCCATATGGTAATACTGAGGTATTGCCAAATTGTTTTCTATAGCAGCTGCACCATTTTACATTCCCACCAGCAATGATTGAAGGTTCCAACATATACTTTGTTTTAACAATTATACTCATTCTAGTGGGTGTGATGTGGTATCTCACTGTGGTGTTGATTTGCATAACTGTTGACAATGAACATCTTTTCATGTGCTTCTTGATCATTTGCATCTCTCCATTGGAGAAATAGCTATGTAAGTCCTTTGCCCATTTTAAATAGGGTTGACTTTCTGTTGTTGAATATAGGAGTTCCTTTATGTATGCTGGATACTAGGCCCTTACGAGATATATGATTTGAAAATATTTTCGTTTTATAGTTTGCTGTTACAGTTTCAGTATGATTGGGCTCTCAAAACCATGCAGTTTAAACCTCAAAGTCAGAAGTTAATGATGCTAAGAGGGTACAGACTTTGTCCAATTATGGCATTTAGGAGATGGGTCAAACAAGAGATGCTTAGGTCATTGAGGGGTGTTCGTTCAGAAGGTAATTCTCCAGAGTTATTAAAAATTCCTGAGTTTGGTCTATGGCCATACCACCCTGAACGCGCCCGATCTCTTCTGATCTCGGAAGAAATTCCTGAGTTTGGACCAGCCTCTCCCTGTTTGCTGGCTCATCATGTGATTCTTCCTCACATGAGCGCTACCATTGCTATCCATCACCCTCATCAGATGCCAGACCAGTGGTCCTGCCCAATCTTGGACTTGAAGCTTCAAAACTGTAGTTAAATATTTTCTCTCATTACATTATTGTCTCAGAGCTTTCGTTATAGGGACAAAAAGCTAATACAGTTGCCTTTTTTCATTTTCTTCATCACATCTTTTTGATGCACCAGAGCTTTTACTTTTGACAAAGTTTGATTTATGTTTTTCCTTTTGTTGATTGTGGCTTCAGTGTCATATTTGAGAAACAACTGCCAATGTTAAGGTCATGAAGACATATACCTATTTATTCTCAGTTTTATGATAATAGTACTTAGTTAGATCTTTGATCTATTCTGAATTCAACCTGTGTGTATGGCATAAATTAAGGGTCAAATTCCATTCTTTTGCATGTGAATATCCAGTTGTCTTAGCACCATTTGTTGAAAATCAGTTGGCCATAGTTTACTTCTAGACTCTGTATGCTATTTTATCAATCTGTATGTTTAATTTTATACCTTGATTATTGTAGTAGTTTTATAGTAAATTCTGAAACTGGAAAATGTTAGACCTCCCACTTTATTCTTGTTCAAGATTGTTTTGGCACTTTTAGTTTCCTTGCAATTCCATATGAGTTTAAGAATCAGCTTTCTCATTTCTCCAGCAAAAGCTATTGGGTTGATAGAGATTGCATTGTATTTGTAAAATTACTTGTGGAAGTAACGTCATCTTAACCATAAGTATTCTAGCCTGTGAACATATGATGTCATCCATTTCTTTAGGTCTTATTTAATTTCTTTCAACAGTGTTTTGTACTCTTTAGTGTATAAGTCTTATACCTCCTTGGGTTAATTTATTCCTAAGTTTTTTTTCCATGTTACTGTAAATGGAATTTTCTTAATTTCCTTCTCACATTTTTTTCACTGATAGCATATAGAAATAAAGCTTTTTGTTGTTGTTGATTTTGCATTCTGCAACATGGCTGAACTTCTTAAAGAGTTTTATTCATTTGAAAGGCACAGTGATAGAGAGCAAGAGCTAAGAGGGAGAGCAAGATCTTCCATTTGGTTCACTCCCTAAGTGTTTCAAGCTGCCAGGGCTGAGCCAGGAGCCCAGAACTCCATCCAGACCTCCCAGATGGATAGCAAGGACCCAAGTACCTGAGCTATCATCTGCTGTCTTCCCCAATGCATTAGCAGAAAACTGTATTGGAAGTGGAGTAGCTGGGACTTGAACTGGCAGCCCTGTATGGTACACAGGCATCCCAAGGGGAAGCTTAACCATCTGCATCATGACACCCATCCCTGAGTTTTGGGTTTTTTTTCTTTTTCATATATATATATATATATATATATACACACACACACACTAGAAGTTCTAGCCAGAGCATGAATATATATACACATATATATGTAAATCTTTTTATATATGTGTATATAAATCTTTTTATGTATTTATATATAAATACATACATTTTTTTTTAGAATTCCTTAGTATATAGATTCATGTGTTCTGCAAATAGTTTGCTTTTTTTTTTTTTTTTAAAGATTTATTTATTTGAAAGTCAGAGTTAGGAGAGGCAAAGAGAGAAAGAGAGAGAGAGAGAGAGAGAGAGGTCCTCCATCCGAGGGTTCACTCTCCAATTTGCCACAACAGCCAGAGCTGCACCAATCCGAACCCAGGGCAGGGGCCCAAGCACTTGGGCCATCTTTTTACTGCTTTCCCAGTTCATAGCAGAGAACTGGATTGTAAAGTGGAGCAGCCTGAATGGGATGCGGGTGCTTCAGGCCAGGGCATTAACCTGCCGGCCCCAGGATCCCCTTTCATTTTTTCCCCTTGCCCTCATTGCTCTGGCTAGAACTTGCAGTACAAGTCGAGTAGCAGTCGGGAAAGCAGGCATTTTTCTGACCTCAGGGGGAAAAACTTTGACTCTTCCCCCTCTGACTGTATTGTTAGAGTGGATTTTCGTGGATGCCTTCTAGTAGGTTATGGAAGGTCCTTTCTCTTCCTATCTTGCTGGGGCTTTTTGTTTACCATGAAAGGGTGTTGGATTTTGGCAAATGCTTTTCCTTACCAAGTGAGGTGATCATGCTGGTTTTTTTTCCTTCATTCTATTGATGTGGCTTATTATAATGATTTTTAAAAAGCTTTTAAATTATAATTTTAATTGATTCCATGTGATCTGTACATACATTTCAGAGAACATAATGATATTCCTTTCTCTCCTTCCTTCCTCTCTCCTGATTTTTGCATGTTGAACCATCTCTATTCCTATGATGTCTCACTTGGTCATGGTGTAAAATAATTTATTTTGATATGCTGTTGGATTTTCCCTTCTGGTATTTTGTTGAATTTTCTACAATTGTATTTATAATGGATATTGGCCTGTAGTTTTTGGGGGATGTCTTTATCTGGCTTTTGGTATCAAGGTAATGCTGGCCTTGAAGAATGATTTCCTAAGTTGTCTGTTTTCCATTTCCTGGAAGTGTTTGAGGATTTGTGTCAATTCTTTCTATGTTTGGGAGAGTTCAGTCAATCCATCTAGTCCTAGATTTCCCTTGTTCTGAGGTTTCTGATTACTAATTACAGGTCTGTTCACATTTTTTGTTTCTTGAGTCAGTTTTGGTAATTTGTGTTTTCTAAGAATCTGTCCACCTATATTAACTAATTTCTTGGCAATAATGCTTATTTTTGATGAATAATTTAGTTATCCAAGACACCATGTAATCTAGTACTTATAAAACTTGAAATGCATGGCATGTTTTGTTGCATTTAGCCTGCTAAAGCAAAATTGTAGTAAACTCTGTAAGAGACTTACACAATTTTCCCCCAAATACTAAGGAACCAAAATTTTCCGATGGCACATGACTACTAGAAATTTTTATTAAAGAGCATTAACCCTCTTATTTTTTCTTTTTATAAATATAAGATTCCTCACACAAAATCACCAAGAGGTAGGAATGGTGAGAGAGCAGACTCCTGACTCAGACTGCCTGCGTTGGAATCCGTGCTGTGCCACTTACTCGGATGTCATCTTGCCATTCACCTCTCTGAGCTTCAGAGTCCTTAACTATTAAAAAAGTGAACATTAAGAGAACCCACCCTATCAGGTGGTTGTGAGGGTTGAGTGCAAAGATGTATCCTAGTCCTAATAAGCACTGAAGGAGGCCATTAACCGGGGTTAAAGAGCATCTGGATATCTCAATGGACCGTCCAACAGTAAAAGTCAAGGCAGTGATGGTGGACGGCAGATGCAAAGAAGCACCATGTTTCCCTGTGGTTTAATGGGAGGAGCGGAACTAAAGTCTTGGCAAATGCCATCACTTGGAACTAACTGGGTCTTTTTAACAATGGCTCCCTAACTCGTGTAGCTGTTTAAACCCAACATCTATGCTAACGGTGCTGAAAGGGTAGAAACTGACTGCAGTTACGCTGTGTGAAGTTAGGGCTCTTGGGAAGTGACTGGATTGTACGAGGCTGCTGCAGTAGAGCCCCACGATCAAAGTAAGATGGCGGCAGGAGAGGCCAGGTGAACAAACGTGCTTCCCGGCTTACCGTGCTCTTGATCCCGCCCACAGCTCACTACGGACACCACCACCCTCGTCACATGCCAGACCAGTGGGGCTGCCTGCTCTTGGACTGCGAACCTTCAAAACGTAAGCCCCTCTCAGGTGTGTGTTATAGGGAAGAAAAGCTGACGAGATTCCAGAAAAGCGGGTCCTACAGTTGCATTGGAGAGGCGCTGTATCAGAGCAGAAGGAGAGCAAGGTCCTTGGAGAAGGAAATCCGTTCCTGGGCTTTTACAGGAGTCTGGGCGCCACTGTGCAGCGCGGAGCCAGGGCGAGGATAGTGAGTGTTTGAGAGATGCTCACAGGTCCCAGTCCCCACAAGGAGGCCATGATGCACTGAGTTTCCACTAGTAACATGTCTGCCTCCTTAGACTCTTTCACCTTATCCGTCTTCCCATAATATATTTCACAGCTGATCTCCTCTTCTTAGGAAAATGATTGAATTCATATTTGTAATATGAGTACATGAACTGTGAAAATTGCTGTTACCAGTATTTTCTTAGGGCCACACCAGCGAAATGGCTACAGGGCTTGTCTTCTTGACTGGAAGTCCTTGTTTGGGTTCCAAGGTAGAAACATTTCATGTGCTTTCAAAATCAAGTCATTAAAATTTTTTTGTTTAAATTTTTAAAGAAAGTAACTAAAATAGAGGCTACCCTGTTACAAAATATAACACATTACCACAACATTAAAAGATGGGAATTTAGTTTATATTCTTAATGTTAAGATATAAGTTAATGACTCATACCTTATAGGATTTATCACAAAATGCTACTGCTCAGTGCATTTTTGCACTGAGAGTATTAACATTCGCATAAGTAATTAGAGTTTACAAATGTACAAAACTTTGGGTAACAAACACTTTCAGCATATTTTTGAAAGACTCAGTAAGCCCATGGCCCCCAAACAGTTTGATTTCAAGGAAGCACAATGGATTACCAAGCATGGCCAAGCCTAAGCAGGGCAGGGAGGGCAAAGACAGACTTGAGAACATCAGAATATCCCAGTAATTTTGTCAATATCAAAAGACAAAAATCAATGCATCTTTTATAATATAAAAGGAAACAAATCCATATAATTAAATACTAGTTAGGCAAAAGAACATTAAAAGATATATAACATTTATTTTCTCTACATAACTTTGCATTTCTTAAGCTTAATGCAAACACCATTTTTCAATTTGAGAATGTTATAACATGTAGTTCCTGGTGACTGTATGTAAAGGAATGACTATGCAGGGGACCCCAAGCACTGTGTCAAGCTTTTGTTCGGTCATTGCTGTTTCCTCTCTTATGTGTTTCTTGATTCATGGGACTGAGTCAATTTTAGAATTACATCCCGCAATCAAAGCATATATAATGTGACTGACTGCTTCTGGAAAAAAACTAAATAGTATAATTTTTAGTGTGTCATTAAAATGGTGGCTGTAGTTAAACCAGTTGCTGCAATTCATGGATGGTAAACTTCCAAAGCGATCTTTTAGATGTTTTAACTGGCGCATCTGCACAGTTGTAAAAGATCTGGCTGTGTGAGTCAAGTGTGCTCCCAGGCAGCACGGGTTAGGTTTGGGAGCAGTGCAGTTGTCCTCATACTTTCTGTCAGGAGCGTCTGTTCATGATCCACCGGCTGTTTTTGATTCTCTAAGAAATGGGAATATCTGATCGTGGTCCATGCACTCCTCCCTCCTCTGTTTTTACATCCTCACTTTGAGAGCAGGCACTTTGTGCCCAGGAATGTGGCATCGCCCACGCACTAAAATGGCACTAAGTTAATCAGGACAGAGGCAGAGGCTGTCCTCATTTAGAAAACAGAGCAGTGGATTATAATTTTACGGTCACAACGCAAGCCCCAGCTCTTCCTAGGCACAGGGGAGCAACCTGAAAGAGAAGGAAAGAGTCAGGCGTCAGACTGCAGGTGAAGATGTCAGTGCACCAGCTGGTGGAGGCTGCAGCCAGCGGCCTGCTCTGGTCGGCAGAGTTGCTGGCCCCCACCTGACGTCACAGTTTCAGGACGGAATGGTTTGGGTGTATTGCATGATGTACAGCACACTTTTCTTTAATGTGTGTTTTTTTAATACCTCGGGAATTAGTCTTCATATTTTGGCCAAAATGATGTACAATGAAGAAATGCTGAACACTAAAAGCAATGTGGTGACCAATGTGGAGGAGACATCCGGTGGCATCTGCGGTTCTCTGACAGCTGTGCCACCTCGGAGACTGCGCAGAGAGCACACTGTGTGCCGGGGGCTCTGCCGAGTCCACAGGACCCAGTGACTGCACTTCTGCTGGCTGCCTTTGATGTGCACGGCTGAGAACTCCAAACTCAACCCACCACTTGTTAGCCCAGTGAGTAAATAATAAATAGCATCCACTGAACTCCCTACGAGTGGAAACAAACCTGGTGAGTGAGCTCCAGGACACTGGTCTGGGGCTGGGAGGAGGGTGTTGCTAGGGGAAATAGTACAATGGGTAAGAATTTTTTGTTATTGTTTAAGGAACCTAGACACTTGAGAAAATTTATAGGGAAACAGATGTGTGGACAAGATGGTTTTTGAAGAGAATTTGACCCAATAGGGTTAAAATGTTAGCACGGGTGGTGTTTGTTTAGTGGGGAGGTACTAATTGAAAAGCACTAAGAAAGTTTGCTTTCTACTGTATCTGAAAGGGTATGGAATAAAGTGGTTTTTGTCAAATCCATACTACCAAAATGACATCCTAATTAGAGTGTTGCCCCTTTCCCCCCTACCTCCAACAAGTCGATTTTAAGAAAGACCAGACTTCATCTGAATCAGCTGTTTTGATCACTATTACATCTCCCTGAACAAGCAAATAACCTAGATTTAAACCCTGTCTATTCACAGTACTGTAGAAGTAACCTCTAAATCATTTACATCGAAATGTCAGTTTGTAATTAGTAGCTTTTCTCAAAACACCCAAGATACTGTGTCTCTACACTGTGACAGCTGACACTGTCATGGCAACCAGCGTAGAGGATTTACAACATCAGCACAGTCATCGTCTACTCTGGGGCAAGGGTAGTGCGGCAGGTGGTGGTGAAGACTTTGTGACCTCACTGCAATGCTATAGATATGTCCCCTTGTCCATTTGTCAGGACAATGAAAACTGTTTTCACTCACTGTGGTTTTACATTGGATCAATTCACTAAGGCTTAATTTGAGTCCTAGTTATTTCTCACTAAAGCCCTCCCAACAACTACTTTGCTTTTTCTCTTTGATTTCCTTTACTACTCACTGCCTATCCCAAGGGACACTTAATACCAACCGCTTATGTTGTAGGCACACACAGATCTTATCTACTTAAGTTAAATTCCATGACAGTGGGAATTCTCACAAATTGTTTTCTTCACAATAATTTTATTGCTCCTCATATATATATATATAATAATTTTGTATAATAATTTTATTGCTCCTCATATATATATATATATATATATATATATATAAAACTTGGCTTAGTAAAACATTTATTGAATGTCTTTTATGTACCAGATATTGGATTGGGTGTTACAAGTACTAAAGTCCTAATTCTGTTCTTTTTGACAACAGAAGCGAAGATCTCAAAAGATCATTCTCAGAACTAGTAGGTCCTCCCATAAATAGACAGGTTCAAATGGTTTCTGATCAGCTTTGCCAGGTCAGCTTTCTTACTTGCTAATATAATTTGGGGCTTCCATATTGATTGGGTTATGACCAGAAATTTAATCATCTACAAAATGCCAGTGGCTGGAGTATTCAAATACTAATTGCTCATGTATGGCCAAGTTCAAAATTTTCTGATGATTATTTTTATCATCTTCCTCAGTCTCGCATCTTTGCTGTAGCCCTCCTGTGATCCTGTAAGCTCTGTCAATACTAGACCATTTCATCACCAAATGTTGGCAGATCAATGGAGTTTTCTGACTAGTAACCTACAATTCAAAGCTAACTTCAGATTTTAATTATGTTATAAAATTAACACTGCCTCTTGTTTTCTCACATTTGATTAGGAAGTGACTGGCTTATTTATGATATACACTCAATACTACACAAAAGCGACAGGATTTGTTTCATCGAAAGAACTGTTTTAACAGACAGCAAGTGCGATAATGAGAAGTGAAATGCCGTACCTGGGTCCACTCATTTGTCTGGGGGTCGTAAGCCTCTACTGTATTAAGGTAAGTCTGTCCATCATAGCCGCCGACAGCGTACAGCTTGTCACCAAGTAGGCAGACCCCCACCGCGTCTCTGCTGATGCTCATGGAGGCCACCGCAGTCCACATGTCAGTTTTGGGATCATATCTGAAAGAAAAGTTTACAACTGACATTGTTGTCTTGATAATTAATGTAAAAAAAGTCACTTTCCAGGTCTGGCCTCTTACTATCTGCTATGGAAATAAAATGTTTGTCCAAACTTCAGAGAAAATATCAGTATTTTTCGTAAAAACGTACAGGATTAGAGATTCATTTAGCAATGGTTATCTTTTTTTTTTTTTTTTTTTTTTTTTTTGGCAGGCAGAGTGGACAGTGAGAGACAGAGAGAAAGGTCTTCCTTTTCCATTTGTTCACCCCTCAATGGCCGCTGCGGCTGGCGCACCACGCTGATCCAAAGCCAGGAGCCAGTTGCTTCTCCTGGTCTCCCATGCGGGTGCAGGGCCCAAGCACTTGGGCCATCCTCCACTGCACTCCCTGGCCACAGCAGAGAGCTGGCCTGGAAGAGGGGCAACCGGGACAGAATCCGGCGCCCCGACCGGGACTAGAACCCGGGGTGCCGGCGCTGCAGGCGGAGGATTAGCCTAGTGAGCCGCGGCACCGGCCGTAATGGTTATCATTTAAAAGGAGTTAACATAAATACTGAAAATTTCAGTAGATTGCCTACTGGAAGTGGAGAAATCAGTACCTGAAGCTGTGTCTAAGAGGGCACACAGCATCAGTCACTGTCGCTGGCCACTGTTGGGCCTTTTTGTTCCTGGGGTGAAGTGTCTCAACTAGACCTGAGCAGAGTCACCATGGTAACACGACCTGTGCGGCTCCTGCTGTCTCGCCGTCAGTGCCGGGTCTCTGTAGCAATGCTACACAGAGCCCATAATTTCTGACTTAAAGCATATAAAGATTTATGTATTCCTTTTGTGAATTGTAACAACTAATAAGCATAGTCTGAACTGTGTTTTCCCCAATACAGGTGACATGCAGGTATAATATTCCTGCTTTCTCAAAAAACTACTAAGTTTGCATATTTTACAGAAAGTCCTCGTTACCACTGACAAACCTTGATTTTACTTTGTATCATTTATTAAATATATCACACCAATATTTTAAAAATCTGATGATCTCTACTCTTATGAGTGGCCATTAACTTCCATTCCTCTTTCAGATTCAGAGTCCTACAACAGTCTGAAGATGGTGGTTGAGTAACCCTCCCCCAATCCTCTCCCCACAGGGTGTGTACAAGCCAGCTTTAACAACTAATTGTTCACGCACCAATCTGCCTTTACAAGAGCTGTGGAAGCCAGGTGCAAGGCCACAGTGCTTGGTTTCAGTACCACAGT